ATGCAAAGAAAATGGATCTACCTTAAAAACTGAGCTCTTGGGAGCGATTGCCATGGTTCAATGTTTTGCGTCGAAATCGGCCGAACATGACGTCAGTCTGACGTCATTTCTGGCCGATCTATGGTAGCTACGAAGTTCATATTTTAACACAAGGTGTCAAATTGATGCAGCCGAAGGTACTGAAAGTTTGTCGTCGATACGTCAAGTGGTTTAGAAGTTATTGCAGAAAAACGGGAGGGGCTATGAATGCCCCCCTCCCAGTGGGGCGAGGGTTAATACCTACCGCATAAAAATAGGGCTACATTGTTTTCTTCTTTTGCACATCTGGACAACGTCAGACAGTCGAGACAAATAATTCATGTTTTCGTCTCAACAGATGACATTTTCAGAAGCCACTCCCGCTGCGGCAAGATAAATAGCGCTTTGATTCCACGAATTTTGGCGCCGTCTGGACTGACAGGGCTTCACAGCTGTTACATCTCCCGGCCCTGTTCTACAGCGCACTTCATGGCAAACAGATAATGCTGCAACACTTGTTGCCGTGCACCGTATCAGGGGAGTGCTTGTGAGCGAGACACCTGACATGGGCCGGGCCGACCACACCTTCAGTGGAAACGACTGCTCCCCTCAGACCGCCCAGGACGTCCTTCTTCATCACCATGGAGATGGCGCCGCGCCTCCCAGTGGCAGTCTGTGTTCTCTGTCTGTTGTGCGTCGCTGAGCTGGCAGCTGGACTGTGGCTAACATCGGATGTCAACGGTACGTCACAGCAGGATTCTACTGTACGGGACTGCAGTGACCTGCCTTTCGGTTCTGCTAGTGGAGTGTACACAATTTACCCTGATCGTCTCACTCCGACCTCGGCTTACTGCGACATGGATTATGGTAAGGGATGGACTGTCTTTCAAAGAAGAGCCGACATCACACCCAGGCAGGACTTCTTCGAGGACTGGGAGGCCTACAAGTGGGGCCTGGGAAGTTTAACAGGAGAGTTCTGGTGGGGACTTCATCACCTCTGGCAGCTGACCTCCCAACTAGACCGCGTTTACGAGTTACGGGTCGACCTCTGGGATTTTGAAGAGCAGACGGCCTACGCCACCTACCAGAAGTTTACCATCGCGTCTGAAGATGAGGGATACATAATTGATTTTGACAACTACTTCGGAACCGCCGGGGATAGTCTTACCCGGCACAAGGGAATGAAGTTCTCCACTATTGACAGAGACAATGATCTTTCGTCGGGTAATTGCTCGTCTTATCGAGAGGGTGCCTGGTGGTATGACAACTGCGCCAGATCCAACCTCAACGGACGGTACAAACCCGGAGTAACAGACGTCACAACCGTCTTTTGGTTTGACTGGAAGTACGAAGAGTGCAGTCTTAACGCCACCACCATGAAGATCAGACCCACAAATACCCTCTAAGCACGCTAAACTGCAAGAAACAGACGCCGTATTTAGCTGCAATCTTATCAATTGTACCGGTGACATGAAAACGTTATTCAATTTAGCTATAAATATTCAGCTGCTCACGTTCTGCTTTAGGATACATGTTCATTTCCTTCGTGTGGTGTGATGCTTTTGCGAAATAATTGTTTCTTCTGATCCGTTTTCAGCAATTCTTCTGTGTTTTATTGAAATTGGATATATTGTGGATATGACTAGGCTGAATGTACCTAATTATTTATGTTTTTTTTTTTGTAAATAGATCTTAGGTGGATTTTCCAAGGAATTTCTATAAAGATGTTCCAGAAGTCTCAGTCGCAATGCGAGATCGGACATAGGATTGCCTGTGATATCTCGCGGCCTCTTACGAGCATTCCATCCATAAAAAAGACCAATCTCCAGTCTCCGCATAGAACCGCTGGTCTCAATAAATTTCGGAGTCACCAGGGTAAGCGTACTTAGCCTTGCGTGAGTATTAGAAGTCATGACTCACCGTCTCCGATTCGGTGATGAGACTGCTCTTGTCCTCCGTCAGCCCATCCTCCACGTTGAGGTCCTCCGCTCCCAAATTATCCTCATCCTCCTCCTCGTGTTTGAACACCTTCACCTCATCCCTCGAGCCTTGTTCGTCGCCGTGCGGCATTTTGGCAGCGGTCGCGCGATCACTCACAGCACCCACGAGGCCACGAGGCCCTCAGCACCCATCACAAGCGCCACCGACACTGTGCGCACGAATAGACAGACATACATAAGGGTAGTTAATCGGAGTGGTCCAACTGGAGCGGTAAAAAACCGTCTGTTAAATGCTTTTTCATCAATGGTACCATCTCTTCCACACCATCCAGCGCCAACCAATCTCATAGACAAGAGAATATTTACAATTTCAATCATGCCCGCCTCTATAATTGCGCGAGGTGTTCGTGTTCTGACCAATCATAGTGTACTTTGTCGGCAGTAGCCTTTTGTTCAATTCGTCGGCACCCTTTGACTCTATCGCCGCTAGAGGGTTCGAGTGCCACAAAATAGAGCCATTCTCGTCTTTGGATCAGCAGCGGGAAACAGTGCCTACCCTGAGGAACCGTGCCATCGATAACAGTATGCACTACAGGGGTATCCAAAAGGAAATCCCACTTAAAAAGCTCGGAACCGGTACACCCATGCCACCCACGGCGTCACATAGAGTCGACCTACCGGTATCTAGGGCCTTGGGCATACCGAGGGTCGGATGGATACGCCGACAAACTAACGACCAGTAGCCCCCATCCCGTCTATCCCCCCCCCCCCCCCGGAGCGACAGGAGCGGCGGGCCAGTCCAAATTCATCCTCAGTTATTCTACTCGTACCTACTTAGTTACTTACATGGGTCTGTGTCGCGTTATACATGACCACAGCCGAGCCGCCACCAATCGTAAGGAAATGGCCTAGCAACCGACCATGGTAACCATCTCTTACCACCTCTGCTGGATGGATAGTAGGGTGAGCAAGAGAAAGAGATGGACGATAAGTGAGCGAGGAAGAGAGAGAGAGAGAGAGAGAGAGAGAGAGAGAGAGAGAGAGAGAGAGAGAGAGAGAGAGAGAGAGAGTGGGGGAGAGAGTTGGAGAGAGAAAGAGAAAAAAGAAAGAGGGAGAGAAAGAGAGAGAGAGAGAGAGAGAGAGAAAGAGAGGGAGAGAGAGAGAGAGAGAGAGAGAGAGAGGGAGAGAGAGAGAGAGAGAGAGAGAGAGAGAGAGAGAGAGAGAGAGAGAGAGAGAGAGAGAGAGAGAGAGAGAGAGAGAGAGAGAGAGAGAGAAAGAGAGAGAACACACTCAAAACTTTTTTACCACCTCCTGGAGGATTCATTTTTACCAAACCCGCAAGATAAGAGTATATTGAAAGGGTACCTCGCTGCTACCATTATGTGCATGGTAACGGTACGTGGTTAAATTGAAGTTATTCGCCAGCAAAGAGTATTACTACCATGTAAATATCAATATTACTCTCGCAATCCTGAACAGGACGAAAACTCTTTCCTCCTAGGTATTGTGACTCGTGTGCAGGTGGTCGTTCAATACGTGGATCTTGTTTACCCTCGTGAATATAATATTTGAGAGAGTATCAATCAGCCAATCAAAAACGAGATCGGCCGTTTGAAGGTTGAAGGCCGCGCGCGCATCTGTCAGTTTTCCGTCGTTGGTCTCCGAGAGAGGGTGTGCGCAGTGTCGGTGCGGCGCGAGGTGGCCGTTGGTGATTGTGCTTGTGTGCTGTTCATCGCCTATAGAGCCTCTGCGGACATTTTATTGTAAGTACCGATGTGATGGAGCATTACGTGCTGTTGAGTGGTGCTAGTTTGATCTGGCTAACAGATCCCGCGCACGGCCACGTGGCAGAGTGTTGTAAGTAGGTACATAACTTTGTTGTGATGCATTTTGTTGGTGACTTAGAAAAAGATCTGTACTGTAGTGATGCAGTTTTATTATCCCATGCGTAGACGGGCGACCACCCAGGAACGTTGCCGTTCACTTCAAATGTTGTGGGCTGTGCCTTATCCAATTTGAGGGAGCTGAATTCTTATTCATATTCAAGTATTCATTTTGAGTATTCGTATTCAAGTTGCATCCAAGTTGTATCGTGATGTTTGTTTACCGCGTGTGCATCGCTGAACGCGTATGAATAAGTGGAGTCTCACAATGTTCATGGCTGGTGAACCCCTCGTATTGTTTGTACGGAATGTCAAATATATATTGTTGCTCTTGAAGCATGTTTTTTAGATGATGAGCTCCGGTTAACAGAAGCTTCGCGAAGCTTCTGAAGAGCGTCTGTGGGTACGTTACCATCCTCTGGGGGGTTTACACTAAAGGAAAGAGTAAACATTACCATGTGACTAAGGGTAAGCCAGAAGAATATGCTCTCTGTAAGGGGGTAAATCACAGAGTAGATGGCATGCTACTCTTTAGAGGAGGGTCACGTTAAAAAGTTACCCTTCCACAGCGTGTAACTTCGAAAATGTTAACCTCTAGACGAGAGTAAATCAAAAGAGTTTACCATACAGAAGATGGTAAAAAACGTCTGTGTGTCACGTTACCCCTCCCTGACGAGTTTACTCTCCATGAAAGAGTAAAATTTACCATCTGGAGGGTGGTAAAAAACGTCTGTGTGTCAAGCTACCATGCTATGGCGGGTTTACCCTCCAGGAAATGGTAAAAAAGTTTTCAGTGCAGAAACAGAGACAGAGACAGATATTTTCTTGTAAACTGTCATCATACATCAACATCTGTCTACAGTCACAGCGTCATTGAGGATATCAATACAAAGACAAAGACAGGAATAGGATGCCAACTTCGCAAGCCACTCCCGCTGCAACAAGATAACTAGCGCCGTCCTTCCTAGACCTTCGGCGCCGTCGGCACTGCCAGGGCTTCACATCTGTTCCACTTCCCAGTTCTGCTCTTCTGCGCATTTCATTGTCGACAGATAATGTTGCAACAGCTGCTGTCGTGCTCGGTATGACGGTAGTGGATGTGAACCAGACACCTGTTAGGTGGTATAAAACGGGCCGGATTGAACATACACCTTCAGTGGAGACGAGTCCTCTTCTTAGACCACCGAGGACTTCCTCCAGCATCACCATGGAGCTGGCGGCGCTGCTCCGAGTGATGGTCTGCTCACTCTGGCTGCTAACGTGCGCCACTTGGTCAGCATCTGGGCTGATCTCTGGCACCAACGGTACGTCACAGCAGGATTCCACTGTACGCGACTGCAGTGATTTGCCCTACTACTTTGCTAGTGGAGTGTACACAATTTACCCTGATCGTCTCACTCCGACCTCTGCCTACTGTGACATGGACGACGGCGAGGGATGGACCGTCTTCCAAAGAAGAGCCGACATCACACCCAGGCAGGACTTCTACAAGGACTGGGAGGCCTACAAGTGGGGCCTGGGAAGTTTCGATGGAGAGTTCTGGTGGGGACTTCATCACCTCTGGCAGCTGACCTCCCAACTAGACAGAGTGTACGAATTAAGGATCGACCTCTGGGATTTTGAAGGACAGACGAGGTACGCCACCTACCAGAAGTTCACCATCGAATCCGAGGATGGCGACTACAGAATTGACTTTGGCGACTACTTCGGGACCGCCGGGGACAGCCGGGGTCTAACCTACAACAAAGGAATGAAGTTCTCCACAGTAGACAGAGACAATGACATTTCGTATGATAACTGCTCGTATCGCTTCCACGGGGCCTGGTGGTATAATGACTGTGCCTGGGCCAACCTCAACGGACAGTACCAACCCGGAGTAATAGGCCACACAAGCATCTTTTGGTATGAATGGAAAGGCCAGGACAGTCTGAACGCCACCACAATGAAGATCAGACCCACAAATACGCCCTAAACACGTAGCTGCACTCTTGACAGTTTGTTTTCATTTTGGAAAAGTCGTATTTAGCTTTGGGAAGCTGTTTATGTTTAACTGCTGAATATCAATTTTGGTTTTGTGTGTTGGTTCTGCATAAAAGGTATCGTTTAATCAAAATCAGTTTCAGCAATAAACTGAAAATGTTTGTGTGCTTTTTATTGAAGTGCGTATGCTTGGTATCCTCGCCATTACAATCTGTCTATAAGCAATGTTTTGTAAATAGCGCCGGCGCTATGAGGATATCAGCCGGCGCTACTTGTTCCGGCCAGTCGCCGTGGAAACATCCGGCGCACTGGGCCCTGATAGTTGTGCCTCTCTGAAGGAGCTCGGCCGGCGCATCGTGCAGACAACCGGAGACCGACGCGACATTGAACATCTCTTTCAGCGCATATCGGTGGCGGTGGTACGCGGAAACGCCACGGCCGTCCGACTCGCCAGTGCCTCCGACAGACCCGAGTCCAGAGTCATCATCACTAGCAACAGCAACGGCTGCAACAACAGCACCAACAGCAGTGGCAGGAACTGCGACGTTGGCCGCATCAGCAAGTGCAGCGACGGCGATGGCAAAGGCGGAAGTGACAGCCAGAACAGTGGCTGCAGCAACAGCAGTGGCGGGAGATGTGACATACTTCGGGCGGCAGCAGAAGCAGGGACGGCGGCGGGAGCCGAGCAGAGCCGCCAACACAACACCGCAGCCAGGAGCCGAGCCGAAACCCACTGGATGACCCCGAGCTAGCTCGCTACCTGCAGCCGCGCGCCCCTCCCCCGCCTATGGGCACACAAGCGCCGACGTCACAAGATCTCGCCGCAGAGCTTCTATCCATTACTCCCATCCCATCCCAACCCACCCCACCCCACCACGCGCCCCATCCTCCGCGTCCTAATCCACTTGCCGCATACGCTGTCCTTCTGACCGAAATGCGGCAGAGCAGCCACGAGAATAAGGCCCTGTCAAAGTCGCTCTGAAGTGTGGGGCGACAAATGTGGTGACGCAGACGCTGTGTAGTTATATGCTGTCTAGCTGTGTAATCTTTGTTTATAAGATATCTATGATAATGACGATGTTGGTGCCATTGACCTGTCTGCTTTCTTCAATATATTTTTCAGTTGTTTTGTAAACAGACCTATGGTCTGACAAACCTAAGAAAGAACGGATTGAAAGTGCAACAGTTATTTATGCACGCGTCTGTATAGATAACTTTCAATAGCCCGATATAATTTCTCTCCAGTTTGCCGTCCCACACTGGACCTCGCATTCGGGTTGCGAGTTTGCGGGTTTTGAGTTTGCGGGCATAATACTAATTCATAGAGTGATTAGACCGTTCCCTTATGGTAACTTCATGAATACAGTGAAGCCGTTGCACCTTCAGAAAATTACATATCCTCTTGAGTCCCGCCAATTCGCCCATGAATGGAGAGCAGCGAAACTTTTTTGGCTGAGAGCTTTGGTGCCAATAATGACCAGATTGGTGACATTTCAGCCGTGAAGGTCATCGCGCATGCGCAGTGACATGTATACTGGGATATACAAAAATACTCAAAGCCTATAAAATCTGACTGAAATGCAATCCATGAAAACTTTCATACAAACACCAAAGTGTATTTTTTCGTTTGTTTAGGACGTAAAATGGCTAATAGTATTGACACGTTTAATTATCAACACCACTCGCCCTTAACTTCAGCTTCTTCTGCCCCTTGCCCACTGCTCTTAGGTCTTTAGTTGCCATTTCCTTTGAAGATATAGAACTTGTAGCACCTGTTGCGAATCGATTAACAGTAGAGGAAGACATTGCAGCATTATCTGAAGCGACATCTCTAAAAAAAATCGCCGTATGGTGTGTTTTAGAGAGGTGCTTGCCTATGTCATTGTGCTTAGGGGTCGGATTCTAATTCATCGGGCGATTTATCAAACTTTGAGTGAGGATCTACGGTCATTGAGGTCGCCAACGATTCGAAGAATGTTAACGCTCAACCACAGAGCCATTTGAAGGCATAATGTTGTTTGTGAGCCACAAAAAATGGTTTTAACTGACCCAGCAACCATGTATACTACAGTATACATGACTAGTCCTAGGCACAGTCCGTTGTATACTGACGTTTACATTTCTCCGTCGTGCAGGATCCCGTTGGTCACTCGGGTGTACATTTATTTTTTCAGAGGTCAATTCCTCCGAATAATTGTAGTGCTACTTCTTAAGCACGTCTCAAAAATTTTTGGGCGAAGGACATTTGTATACCTTAGTATACATGAACTTTAATTCTTTCTGGAAAAGTTCCAAACACACAATTTTGTTTACAAAACCTGCAAGCAATGACCAACAACGAATGGTTATGTTAGCAAAACAACAGTTTTCGATGAGTCATTCTCTTAACCCGCGCCCTGCTGGGGGGGGGGGGGGGTGTTTGAACACCCCCCCTTGTGGTTTTTCGCGAATATCTCAAAAACGGCGGCGCGGTACACCTTATCATACATCAATTCTACACATGTTGTGAAAATTTCAGACCAAGGTCATTCAAGGTCAGGTCACCAGGTCACTTGAAGTGACCTCACCTCATAAAAAGTTTCAATGTCTGTCATAGCTACACCGAGTGATCGATCGCTTTGAAACTTTCAGCGATTGCTAAGAGCAATAGCATGTACAAAATGTATATCTCAGAATTTTGATATCGATGACCTAAGGTCAGGTCAATTTTGCGACCTCCCCATTATAAGTCAATGGGAGAAAATTGAAATGCGCCTGTTTTGGACGAAAGACATTATAAACACTCCCAAACACTGAATTACAAGTGGTTTAGACACACTGAACATGAAAATGGTGTCCGTGACCCCTGTTTATGCCCTGAGGTCATCTTAGGTCACGAATGGTATCTAACAGTTTTTCGCAAATAACTTTTGATAGAGGCATGCTAGAGCGATGAAAACGCCTTAGATGTGTTCAGCTCGACGATACGGATCGACTGATATGCAACATGACCCTTTCCGGTCAGGTCATGACCTTGACCTGAGGTCAAATTTTCAAGTTGACCTTTCAAGGTCAAGTTATAGTTCATTCGATGCGTCTTGACGAGTGGAACACGATGCCGGTAAAAGTAAGCTCGTACAAGGCTTGGGTCAAAAGTTATTGCAGAAAAACTGTTTCCGAAAAAATCGGCTATTTTTGCAGTTTTTGCCCCCTGCAGGCAAAACCGTTGACGTTAGGTCAAATCTGAGAGAATTATTCAGAAAGGGCGTTAATAGGGCTATCGAATGCGCTTTTTCGCGGCGCTGTAGCTCTATTGGTTCCCGAGTTATGCGTTGGCTTCTTGGAAATTTTCGACATTCGACCTGGAAATCGGCGAAATTTTGCCTTCAATGACCTCTGGTGACCTGACCTTTGACCTGACCAAAAAATTGACCGAAGTGATTTCGTCATTATTTTTGACGCTCTTTCGAACGCCGCCTTCCGCGTATCGCTACGTGGCCCAGGAGCCGAGTTAGAAGGGGGGGTGTTCAAACACCCCCCCCCCCCCAGCAGGGCGTGGAAATCCAGGACCCCCAGCCGGGCGCGGGTTAAAAAGAAATAACAGGAAAATAATTAGGAGACGTACCTCTATGCTGCGACCGCCGGGATACCGGGAAGATTGAAACGCTGAGGCGTCAACAAATTCAACTTGAGGATATAAATTCAGCCACCAGGTGGCGGACCATGGAATGAAGAATGCAACGCTTGGCCATGGAATAGCCTAGCCATTAGTGAATTCCGTAGAGATCGACTTAAGACGATGTACATATACCCCAGTATACAAAAAGAACCAAGAGGATATAGTCGCAATACCAGCGCAACGAACCAAAATTCGACTCCAACGAAAAACCCGCAACCCTCGCAGAGCTCGCAGACCTCGCTGCGAGGAAAACCGAGAGTTGACTTAAAACGAGCTTTTGGAATACGATGTAAGGTGGCTCGAAAGCTAAAAACATGCAGACTCGCTTGTTACATGGTAGTGTGGGGCACTCAGCTTCGATTGTATGATTTGATTTTGAAGAAACCCGAAAAACCAAAAACCCGCAACCCGCATGCGAGGTCTAGTGTGGGGCGGCCGCCGGCCTGCACAAGTAGACTATCTCCAATATCCAATGCGCTTGTGTCTAAGTGCTAGCCCCTAGGTGCTCCAAGGCTCCGTTCTTTCTTAGGCTTGTCAGACTATAGTTTTCCTGTTTTTTTTTTCTTTAGAGGCTCAGCATATGCCAAATTACTGGAATGGGAGATACAGGCATTGCAGGGTACATGGAGGAATTTTGGATCATTAGTGGATGTTGTGACCTGAAAAAGGACGCATCATAAACTGAGTTTATAGACCTTTGTACAGAAAACGGGTTACAAAACCCTCTGATTTCACATTCACGTTTGAAATAATACCCCTTAAACTTCTCAAAGGATCGGACTGATGGCAGTGGCTCAGTTTGGACCGACACATGTCATGAGATGTAAGCAGACACGGGATAAAAGCCGTTTTCACGACGGGTTATCTGGCGAATGCCAGGTAACCCGATTGCATCAAACTTGACCAAATCTGCACCAAATCTCTTTTAAAATAAAAATCTTGATATCAGGAATTTATTTCGGTGTTTAATTCAAAAATCATGTCTCATAATTTGAAAAAACAGGTATATGAACAACTGTATAACCCAAGCTGATAACTTCTGAGAAACACAACGAACCTAATTTGACCAAATCTGCACCAGAGGCCGGAATTTTTGCAAATTTTGCTCGGAAATTTGCATCCACCGCCACTTGACTTTGTCTTCTTTTTACCGCTCGATTTTTTTCAGGCTGCATTTTTATGATAATCAATGGCTCATAATCGGGAATTAAATTCGCAGCTGGCTCGGAATTTATTTTATAATAATGGCCTCTGATCTGCACCAAATGTGACTCAAATGTATACCAAATTGCAGTCGTGAAAACGGCTAACATCACATCTTTTCACAGCCACTTGACTTCTTTTATACGGACGTGCTTGGCTCCAACTATCATGCAAAACATGTGATGTATCGAATCGTGGCTCTAACTCCCTGACTTATAGGTGCACCCACAGAAAGCATGGCTCACAGCCACTCAAAAGCACAGCATCTGTAGTATAAAGCGCTAGCTTAGCCCTCGCCGGACCTATCGGTTTTCTACAAACGCGCCGGCCGGGGGGGGGGGTTACGACCCCCCTCGCCGTTTCGCCCCTGGTGGAACTAGCGCGTCGCAGAAAAAACGAGCGTGTGCGCCGTTACGAGACGCAGAGATTGGTATCCGATTTTAAGGTCCTAGGTCAACCGGTGACCTCTGAGGTCAGGTCAAGTGCCCCAAGGTACGGTTCAGTTTTTGGTGAATAACTTCGCAAAAAAACGGCCGCAGAGCCGCGATTTTGGCAGCATCGTGTTTGCCTCGCTCAGGCGCGTCGAATGATATACGTTTTGGTCGGGTCAGGTTAACTTAGGGTGTTGACCTCAGGTCAAGGTCAGGTCAGCACCCCCAGGTCACGAAGTTGGTTGAAAGAGGTCATGTCGCATATCATTCGATTCGGCAGGTCTTCCTGAGTCCATTGGTGGCTTTCCCGACTCGCTAGCTCAATTTTCTCAAGAGTTATTGACGAGACACTACTATGACCTTGGTGACGTCATAAATGACGTCACGCAAGGTCAACATTGGAAAAATGGCGCATCTAACCTTGCAAGGAGTGCATCAAATCACGATTCTGTGTGCTTGAGATAGTTGGAGATCGTTCCCGGCGCCAGAATAGCAGTTTTCATTTTTCCCCATTGACTTATAATGGTGAGGTCACGAAAATGACCTGACCTCATATGACATTTAGGAAAAATCCGAGATACACAAGTTGTGAGACTCATAATGGATACTAGATCCTGCAAGTTTCATTTCCCAGTGACATCTCTGGCAGTGAGGGCGTTGCGAAGTTGCGACATCTGAAGACCGTGCAGAGGTTCACTTATGACGTCATAGGTCAGTGACCTGACCTATGGCGCGGCGCGGGAACTACTTTCGGACTGGGGGGGGGGGGGGGGGCACACCATAATAGTTTACCAGCCTAGGGTACCCCCAAATCCAGTTTTCTCACCGGTTTTAGGCCACTTATT